GCTATCGAGTTTATTTTAAGCGCTTCCCAATTCGTGTATGAGTTTAGGAAATCGGTGCTTCTACGGAAACAACGGTAGGATTGCATACTTCTGCGTCAGCAGGCGAATTTCAGTTCCCAGATGTTGTCATTAGTGAGTTGTATGCTATAAAGATATTAACAATTACGTATGTATGCGTGCGCTCGATTACTAGTCGGTATAGCCGAACATAACAATATTTTTTTGAGCAAGATGCTGATGAATAAGCTGTAAAAATTGCGTTGTGTAGCTTTCGCGTTCAGGCACAGTTGAGCCTTCGGATGAGATAACACTACGGCCTCGTCGAAAACTCTCTGTCATGGAACGGTTCTTTCCAAAGCTTTCACCGTCAAACAACTCTTCTCGCGGTCTTTTTACATTCTTTCTCAAAATATTTTTTTTGCAAATTTGCTTAGGAGATGATTCATTTCAAGTGAGGAAAGTCCCGTTATTATCATTTTTTTAGCAGTGCCTTCTTTGGATGATTCGGACTATCTTGTGAAAGCTGCTCATCTAGTCTCTACGGCGCAACGAGCCGAACACGAACATGAATATGAATTGGCCTTTGAATGTTACAAAAATGCTGCCAGTAGTCTAATCCAGGTATTTCCTTAATCGATTTTTCTCTAACCATCGTGCACATTGTCACTTTTGTTACTGCATACAAGGTTAATCAGTTGCATTGAAATTTACATATGTTTGTTTCGTAACTCTCGCCTTATTTTTGCCTCATCTAGCCGTGTATTCGCAAAATCATTCTCTTTTCTCATTTTGGACCTGTTTTAAACCAATTCTTCTTTAGTTGAAAATTATTGCGTCTATTTTGTATGCGCGCACGTATCACAGTTCTATGCCTCCATTGTATGTTTTACATTCGTTTGGAGATGTCATACTTTGCGCATTGTGTGATCCTTTGCTAAATACAAATATGACAAAAGCAAACGCCTGTCTACCCTGGTAGGCTGAGCGTAACCTTAGTTAGCGCAATAGCAATTGTGCGCTTCTCCACATGTGTGTTGTGTTAGGCGATCAGATCAATACATGACGTTAGCAAATTATGTATTTGATTGCTTCATAGAGCTCTTCTTTATTATCTCCAACATTCAAACGAAGTCGATGACCACAGATTTGCTTTTGCAATATTTTATATATCTCTAATGTTTAGGGTATTCAACATGAATCGGACATGGCACGACGTAATGCTGTTCGCCGAAAAACCGCTAAGTATCTTGTAGCAGCGGAGCGGTTATACCGAACTTATCTGGCTTATGATGGTGCTGCTCCTATTGTGAATTTGGAGTCCCTTGTGGAATCGACCATGATGGTGCGTGAGAAGATCGTTTTTGAAACTTGTAGGCCTTTTTCTTAGTAGAAGGGAACGATGGTTCAGCGCATTTTTATGTGTGTTTGTGTTCATTATGTTCATAATCTCCGTGTCTCATCTCTTTAAGTTTCTATATCGCCTAAAGCATGGATCTGGAAGGATTTTGATGACCTTAAAAGCGTTTTCTTTTCAGGATCCTGATGTGCTGGCATTTCAATGCGCTAACGCATGTCTCAAGAATTACCGCGTAGTTGGTATACTACCGAGCATAAACGCTATCAAATGGGTTTTAAAGGTTGAAGAAAAATCAACAGGTTTGTTATAGCAATTTGCTATTAGTTGATTGTAGATAACTATGATATAACCGTTTAACTGAAAAGGTAGAAAATTGAATTTCGCTGCTTATATGATAGTTGTCTTATTTTAAGGAAGACTCTTTGTCATGAAACTTCTCGAAAAGGGTGTTCGAACAACAAAAAGTCGAGTACTTCTCCCTACAAACGTCCCGCACATGATTCAATTGCACCAGTTCTTCGAAACTGAAACATATATAATTTTGGTATTGGACTATGTTGAAAGTGGAACATTGTGGAGCTTCTTGGTTTGCAATTTTACTTTGTGATTTCGGTATAAGTGTAAGCCTACTGGTTGTTAGGTGCATTTCTTCGCCGAATCAGAGAAGCGATTTCTGCTTTCATTGGCTACAGGAGACGACGAAGGATTTGGAGACGTTCCTCAATGTTCCACATTGGCAATGCAACCAACAGTGGCGGAGTTGGAGTGCTATAGAGGTTAGCATTAGAGATTGCATTTAAGAGTAAGCAGACTTCGTAATGAGCATCCAAAACAGATCGATGGATTTCTATTTACAAATTTTGAAAACGCTTATCAAAGTTGTCAACGCTGTCTTCCATTCTTGCGCTACTTGAACAAAATAAATTCATTTTTGTTCTCTCAGGACGACGACTACATTTCTCCGTAGGTGTAGACTTTGAGCGCGTGGCCGAGATGCGAGATGAGAGTCTGAGCGTGAGTTTTGAACAATCACGTTTAGGAGATTTCATGCCTCTAGGATTTCCGAATGGTTTTAGAATGATGTCCCCTCCACTTCTGGTGCAGTTTGTACAATGGGCGAAGATGCAACTGGTGTATGTAGCGCCCCGGAAGGTATCTTCTTTATCATCCTCTTTCTTCAGTCTATTTCATTTTCTCGATGGAGCTCTATGCACGAATACCAGCATTATACCACCATATTTTAGGCGATTTCTATTTGATAGGAGAAGGAGCTGCTGAAAACGTATCCTTAAGAGGCGAAGAATCACCGGCGCGAGTTCGTCTGCCGAATAGACACGACGAAGATCAACCAGTCGATGGTTAGCCATCGATATTTCATGCAAAACTCCTTCATCACATTTCCTTTTTCTTTTCAGATGCATCAAATCAAACGTTAATATCCTCCATAGCATGTGTGCGTTCATACTTGCGTCGTGAGCGACGTCGTGCTTGGCCTGGGCTCCGGCCGTTGCCTGAATCTTTGATTGTGCATTGGTCTGCTCAACTTGTTAGTTGGCTGTATGTAATGCACAATGAGCATGCTGAAGTGATTGGGTGAGAAATTTTTTACCCGTTGAAATCGGTGAACATTGTTAGCACTAAAATTTTGTAGGAATTTATTTTATCCGGAAATCCTCTTTTTTGAATTCCTCATGAAATCCTGTTGATAGTTTCAAACTTTTTGCCGAAGGTTCATTAAAGTTACCTACTTTAACACTTCATGAACATTGCACAGGTGCAGCTTACCAGATTAGCAGTTCTTGGCATAAGTTCACATTCAGC